ATAAAACTGAAGTTGAACCGCTGATCTGATTCCAACAGTGCCTGATTAATTATTGGAAATGTGTGTACGTGCGGTGTGGGAATGTGTGTGTGTGCGTGTGGTGGGTCAGAATTAGGGTCACTCATTCCAGAAAAATCACTTTATCTTCATAGAGCTGAACCCCTACTGTGAGACAGGGCTGGCAGAGCTGGCTATAGACTATGAATACTGATTCACTGTGTGTGTGTGTGTATGTATGTGTGTGTGTGTGTGTGTGTGTGTGTGTCTAGACACCACAAGTGGGCATTACAGGACACATGCAACTTTTTCAAGAAAAATCCTTTCAGCTTACTGTGAATAATTTGACCCCCTATTATAAAATAAATATATATTGTCTCCATCTTTATAGCGACACAAATATATATTATGTTGATCTTATTTTCTGGCTAGAATATACTGACACAATACAAAAGGAGATCCTTGAAGTATTATAAAATCACACTTGCTGAACAGCATTACAATCAATGCAAACCATTTATCAAAGATAATGTACATGTGAGCAGAGTCACAATGTATCCTCAGTTGTATGATAATATGGTATTTCTCTGATGTGTTTTTCACGATAAAATAAAACCTTCTACATAATAGAGCTTGATGTGATGTCTATCAATAGGCAAAAAAGAAAAGAAGGCTTTGAATACAAATAGAGAGCTCACAGTTATGTGATTGTTGAAATAATTATTTGGTTAAAAACACATTTCATCAGTTTTTGTAACATGTCCCAAATGAACTCTCTTTCACAAAACAGGTGCTGAAAAAATAGGCAGAAAGTGCAAATAGCTTCCTTTTAGTGCGGCTGTATGTTTCCCTTATTATCACAACAAATCATCTTTAGAGAAGAGCCTCCTCTGCTGTTCGAAGTCAGACTGTACTGGGCCATTCAGGATGGGGGTGTCGGTAAACTCCACGCTGCAGGGCCCGGGGCCGCAGGGGGCGTCCTCCAGCTCCAGCACAGTCACGTTGTTGGGTACAGCGTTGCTGAGGATGGAGGCAGGAACATAAAGTGTCACCTGAGGGCCCCGAGACGGCCAGTAGCGTCCCACGTTGAAGCCGTTAATCCAAACTTGCCCCTGAAAAAGAAATACTGATTATTAATGCCCTGTACTTTGTCATCATTAAACTAAAAAACCACACAATACTTTAGAACTATGAATAATGAAATCTGGGCCTGTGCTAAAGAAAGTCTTGACGAGATACACTTAAACAGCATGTATTTTATTAATTGTTTTTATTCTTTTTTCCACATTTAGTGAAGGCCTGAAGTTAATAATTATTTGCATTCATTTATGGTTATTTGTAATTATTTTTAAAATAATTTGAGTTAATCAGTATTCACCTGTTTTGTTAATGTTCTCAAATACAGATTAGAGTACTATGACCAACCATTATTAGAAATATTTGTTGATCCTATTGGCTAATTATTTTAGCTTTGTTTAGTTTCTGCAGGTTTGCTTAGTTTTTTCTTTTTAACCAACCCAAAACATGTAATGTAATGTAACCAACACAAAGATATTCAATTTAATGGATTAAAAATATTTTTGTTTTCCCCTGATACTCCATTACAATTGTGCTAATATTTGTTTTGGATGGCCAAACATTTTGAATTCTAACTTAATAAAAAATAACTGAACATACCTTCCTCCATTTGGGCAGCTTGATGTAGGTGTCCTGGGGGAGGTCCGGGATGCCGTCAGGAATGATGAAGCTTCCCTCGTAGAAGGTGGGGAGGGAGAGAGCAGCGGGGGGAGATGAGACTGTTGGTTTGGTTTCACCAAGGAGGCCCTGACTGACCGCTTCATCGATGCTGAGGCTGTACATCGTCCAGCCAGTGAGCGTGTCTTTCCCCAGAGTCAGGTTGGACACCAGGCCCTGTGCAGGGGAGAGCAAAAACTATTACAACAAATATTACACTGATATCCTACTTTGCTCAAAATGTAAAGTGTCAAAGAAAAATGTCAAATTCAAATCTAAAATATAATTTGGTTGCAGTTAAATAAACAGTCTTTTATCTTTTGCAAACCTGCAACTGATATCCAGTAAATCTCTGTGACTGTGAAAAGCAGGCAGTCATATGTCAAGACACACAAAGTACGGTAACTTTAAAATGTACCTTAAAGTCATTGATTTCTCTTCCGTAGTTGATTCGGCCCATATTCTCCACCAGTATGTCCAGCTGACTGCCGTCTTTCCCAGTCACATTGAGAGTTAAGGCCTTGTTCCTTTCAAAAATCCCCACAGCCACCTGAAAAATAAATCAGAATGGTCATATCAAAAAAATATTCAGAGTTTACTAACATTTGTAAGGACTAGCTATTACATTATTTATAGTAGTGAATATAATCCACTAATTCTATTAAAAATCACCAAAACAAAATTCCATTTACACAAAAAAACAGCTATAGGTTTCCAAATGTTTAATGTTGTAAAATGTACAAGAATATCAGCCTGTCTAAAATTGTTAAAATGGTGATGGTGCTCAGGACATATTCTGATGGTACCAATAAAGTACTGAGCCTTAAATTGAACTAATCTGGTGACAAGCAATGATCAGAAAAGGCATGTGGTTGGACCTGCACATAACATCTGATAAGAAACGATGAGTCTCACCCCGTCCACTGACAAATACGCTCTGTCATGGACGCCGTTCAGAGGAGACGACAGTGGTGTGGGTGTGTTGCAGTCAACAGGAAGTTTAGTCCTGTAGAGCACATAACCAAAGGCCTACAGTACATGAGATAGAGGAAGGAAATACACGATATATATATATATATATATCCATGAATGAATAACAATTATATGACAAAATATTGTTGGTGAATGTTACAGCCGCTGCCTTCCTGGGGCTGTTAAGGCTGTTAAACCTGTTTGTGTGTGTGTGTGTGTGTACACACATGAGCGGCGCAGTTCCTCCGACGTCCCGCCCTCGCTGCATCCGAAGAGGTGAAAAGAATGCAACAATACATTTTTCACTACTGAAAACAGACAAACATGAATACCTGGTTCAGTTCGATGAAAGTCTGAGGATAAATGCTTTTGACGGGGCCGGAGAAAGAAAGCATTTCTAAGGCATCTGAAATTGTTTGGAGCTGTGGAGGCAAAGGATTACTTTTTAGTATTAATATTTTATTTTTTAAATCATGTGAACAAACATTTTTGATTGATGAGTTAATAGAAACAAAGTGAACATACCCTTTTCATCCCAACAGTCCCATATCCATACTTTGGAGTTGTAGGTGGCATCGGTCCCTCTGGCAACTTACGATACTGTTGTCAAAAGATAAACAAGTTCTTCCAGGTGAAATACACAACTTATATGCTTTTCTTAATAGTAATAAAGCCCTTTGATATGATACAAAACAGCTAAAGTGATTTTAAAAGCAAAACTAGAGGCCTAATGTTCTTACCATTTTGATGACATCACGAATAGCAAAGTACTTCTTTGTGAGGTCTCCTGCTTCAGAGAGAGGGGCGTCGTAGTCGTAGCTCGAGGGCTGCGGGCCGTACGGTGAGTTGGCGCCTGAGATATCAAAAGGCAATCAGAGGGCGAGGTTCATCTTAGCGTTATCATTTTAGCAGCACAAAAGTCCCAAGTAGCTTTGTGACATCAAAGTCTGTTAAGGTTCACTCACCATTCCAGTATCCAAAGTTTGTCCCTCCTATGAACATGTACCTGTGGAGAGAGCAGTTACGGTTAAATGAACAGAAATGAGGCACAAAGACATTTAAATAACTTGGAACTGCAAGAACAAGACATTGCCTCTCGTGATTCTCTAACTTCAAGAACATGTATTTATATTTGTAAAATGTCACCCATCATAATGACATCTTAAGTGCAATAGTAAATGCCTTCAGGGTGTCTGAACCTGTATATCTGTAGACTCACATGTTGACGTTTGCTCCCATGGCCAGCATCTCATTGAGGGACTTGGCCACAACGGCGGATGACACGACAAAGTGAGGAGACCCCCAGTGGTCCAGCCAGCCAGTGTAATACTCAGAGTTCACCTGTTAAATCAGGAGGAAACCCTATGAGCGCGAGAGAAACACTTGTGTGGTTTGGAAATCACAAACCGTATGAGGGAAAATACTTGCCAAAGGTCCATGAGGTTCTGCGTGTCTCTGTGCATTAAAAGCAGCCGTTACATTACCTAACAGGATTAAAACAGAAAGATAAGCTCACGTGTGTTTGTAGGATTTCCTACTGACTAATCCAACACATGACACTAAGTCAATGTGGAAAGAAAACCATGACCCATGGTTTGTAATGCATTTTATCTGAAGATAAATACAACTACAGTGGGGAAAAAAAGTATTTAGTCAGCCACCAATTGTGCAAGTTCTCCCACTTAAAAAGATGAGGCCTGTAATTTTCATCCTAGGTATACCTCAACTATGAGAGACAAAATGAGAAGAAAGAAAAAAAATCCAGAAAATCACATTGTCTGATTTTGAAAGAATTTGTTTGCAAATTATGGTGGAAAATAAGTATTTGGTCACCTACAAACAAACAAGATTTCTGGCTCTCACAGACCTGTAACTTCTTCTTTAAGAGCCTCCTCTGTCCTCCACTTGTTAACTGTATTAATGGCACCTGTTTGAACTCGTTATCAGTATAAAAGACACCTGTCCACAACCTCAAACAGCCACACTCCGAACTCCACTATGGCCAAGACCAAAGAGCTGTCAAAGGACACCAGAAACAAAACCAGGCTGGGAAGACTGAATCTGCAATAGGTAAACAGCTTGGTGTGAAGAAATCAACTGTGGGAGCAATTATTAGAAAATGGAAGACATACAAGACCACTGATAATCTCCCTCGATCTGGGGCTCCACGCAAGATCTCACCCCGTGGGGTCAAAATGATCACAAGAACGGTGAGCAAAAATCCCAGAACCACACGGGGGGACCTAAGCCGCGTTCACAGCGGAGTACTTTTCCCACTTTAGTTCCGATATAGTTCCGAAATGTCGCGTTCAAACCAAAAAGAGCCGGAACTAAAATGAGTTCATGAGAACCTTTTTACCCCCTTTTTGCCTAATCCACCCCCAGGGATTTATTCCGGTGTGAACGCGATCTGTACTTAGTTCATCAGAACTAAAGAGTTCTGATGAACTAAGTTCTCATGAACCTTTGTGGGAAAAGTACTGCGGTGTGAAAGCGCCTTTAGTCAATGACCTGCAGAGAGCTGGGACCAAAGTAACAAATCTGATGACTGATCCGTGTAAAGGAAAGAATGAATGGGGCCATGTATCGTGAGATTTTGAGTGACAACCTCCTTCCATCAGCAAGGGCATTGAAGATGAAACGTGGCTGGGTCTTTCAGCATGACAATGATCCCAAACACACCGCCCGGGCAACGAAGGAGTGGCTTCGTAAGAAGCATTTCAAGGTCCTGGAGTGGCCTAGCCAGTCTCCAGATCTCAACCCCATAGAAAATCTTTGGAGGGAGTTGAAAGTCCGTGTTGCCCAGCGACAGCCCCAAAACATCACTGCTCTAGAGGAGATCTGCATGGAGGAATGGGCCAAAATACCAGTGTGTGAAAACCTTGTGAAGACTTACAGAAAACGTTTGACCTCTGTCATTGCCAACAAAGGGTATATAACAAAGTATTGAGATGAACTTTTGTTATTGACCAAATACTTATTTTCCACCATAATTTGCAAATAAATTCTTTAAAAATCAGACAATGTGATTTTCTGGATTTTTTTTTCTCATTTTGTCTCTCATAGTTGAGGTATACCTAGGATGAATATTACAGGCATCTCATCTTTTTAAGTGGGAGAACTTGCACAATTGGTGGCTGACTAAATACTTTTTTGCCCCACTGTATACACAACATACTGTATCATCACATAACTGAACATGTAAACCACAATCAATATTTAGTGTAATTTGCATTGAGTTGATGAGACCTGGGCCAAAGTCCACAGTGGCGTAGAGGCCTTGTATTGAGCCACACTTGAGGAATTTGAGTCCAGCTCCATCCGTGGTGAAGAGCACCACCTCCTCGCCCAAGTGGGACCGGAAAAGCTTAGTCAGGTGACGCATGTAGTTGTAGTCACAGGCGAAATAACTGCCATATTCGTTCTCCACCTACCACACACAGCAGGAGGGAGATGTTATGACTTATTCGTGAAGTACTGTAATTGTACGTAATGCACAACAACTAAAGACACAAACCTGCAGGAATCAGCCCAGGACTCACCTGCACAGTGATGATAGGACCCCCGTTCTGGTAGAGATATGGCTTTATCATGGGCAGTAACTTTCCCATCCACTTATCTACTGCCGCGATGTAATCTAAAATACACATTGAATTTGTATTTATTTAATTAATTGAAGACCGTGATAATGCATTTGACATGGAAACAAGATTTTTCAGATTTGTTCAATTACAACTTTTGTTCCTAGTTGTTTAAACCCTTTTAGCTTTTAGGATCATGAAACCACAATGTAATACAAGGGGAGAAATACAATACATGCCATAGTGCAGAAATACACATGCAGCAATAGACATGGGTCATTCAAAGTCAATCTCTTAAACATGGGTTCAACTCTGGGATGGAGCTAATTTTCTGCCATAACTCCACAAACAAACTAAACAGGTTTTACAAATTACATCTACAACATTTTTATTTTACAAGTACAAAACTTTTTCTTCTCACGGCGGGATATTACTGCCAAAAGTGACATTTGGCAGTAATATTCCGCTGTGGCCGGCACATGTTCCACGGCAGCAGGGGGCGCTACTGAGTCCATTTGGAAGGCGGGAGGTTGAGCAGAGCATGGAACAGCCCTTGCCAGCCCGATGACAGCGGTGTTTCTAGCGATCTGGGTCAGTGTTATAGTGATAATATTATAGACAAGGTGAATTTAGCGATCACAACGAAAACAGCCAAGACACATATTGAGCCCAGAAAATGAATGTTATTAGGGCTGTAAATATAATAAGCCTTTGTCTAAAATGGACAACATTGTATCTAAGGAGATTTAAACTATATAGCGATTCTGCACTCGGTCAATCAGCTGCTCTTCATTTTCTTTCCTGCTGTATTCAATGAGTGATACAAATAATTTTTTACCATAAGTTCTGAATAAAACTGATACTGTTGGACTCGGTACTAGTTGACTGCTACCATAAATAAAAGGAAGTAAATTTACTGTGTACTTTGTGAGTAATCCTCTGTCAGAGTCCCCTCCGTATAATGCATGTTTTCTGCTATCTTTGATGAGTGATAAAAAGACAATTTTACCATAAGTTCTTAATGATATTGAGACTGCTGGACTCAGTATTCTTACACCTACTATCACAATACATTGAAGTACTTCTAGTGTGTGTTTTTTTTTTAATCCTCTGTCAAAGTCCCCTCCTGAGAACAAAATCAAGCCACTTCTGCTAAGTTTGATGAGGGAAAAAAATATTTGTTGCCATTAGTTCTTCGTGAGATTGACACTGTTGGACTCAGTACTAGTCCCACAAGTACTATGAAGTACTTTTACCGTGTACTTTTTGAGTAATCCTCTGTCAATGTCCCCTCCTGAGTACAATAATGCATGTTTCTCTGCTATTTTGAATAAGCGTTAAAACACCTTTCTTATGAGACTGATATTGTTGGACAGAGTACTTTAAGAGGATGGTGGACATGATATCAGCAATACTTCCAGTCAGTACTCCAGCAGCAGCATTTTACCCCTTGGAAAGTCTTTAGAGTCTGGCCTGGATAGCTGGTCACAAATATCCTTCAGCAAAGTGACACACCCGTGTGACTCTTGTTGGCCTCTTATGGGGCTGCTGTCTTTTAAATAGGATTATTTCTCTGATCCTAGTTCAGTCCTCTCAGATTCTTCCATCAGTCCCAGTCATTGCATGTCTGTCAATAGAGCTTCGAAAAATGTGTCCAATTCAACAAAATGTTTTTGGAAGGTCAGAGCTAAATAATAGATTGTTTGATTGTGTAATTACAAGGTGAGAGAAAATACATCCTATTAAACTTATTTTATTTACTTTTCCATGGTGTACATATACTTACTTGTATTACATGTTGAACCACATGCTGGATATCTTCCCCAGCCTCAAGGAAATACAATAAATGGATTCATAATTTAACATTTTTATAAAAATTTATAAATTAATAATGTTGTGTGCAAACATTTCAAATTGAAATATAAAATGAAAAATAAGTTTACTTTTGAAATGATTTCTCACAACCTTTCTAAATTATACTAAATTATTAAAAAAGGTTTCGTCAATATACGTTTTTCTGCCTAAAATAGTTAAAATTGAACGTAAATTATATCAAACACCACATCCATGGCAATTAACCCACTTTTGCCCGCTATTTAAATTGAGTTTGGTTGAAGTTAATAACAATATTGATATTATATAGATATATAGCATATAATTGATGCAGTCTTTCTGAACACTTTTAAAATACTGCAAATGAAGAATATTTGTAATGTTCTGCACAGATAGTGCCTTAACTTGAATTTGAAAACACGTGGCAACTTTATTAATACAGCAGTTGAAAAGATTTGTGGAAAGAAAAATTCTTCATGGGCTTCAATGGCTCTCTAGATAAAGGGCGTTTTATGGTTGATTCTTATCCTCACATAGTGGTTTGTTTAAATAACTAGTGACATTTTAATAAATATTGCAAAAAAGGGCTCCAAAAAAGGCATATATATATATAACCTGGCCGGCTTAACCAGTGTGTATTTCTTCAAGCACCAAGATTCACATTCCCAACTACGGGGTACTAGTTTTTACTGGGGAGATTTCACGACTCACGGTTCCTGGAGTATAATACAAGACAGTGATTACAATGTAGTTGGTAATAATTTGGTAAGAAGAAAGGAAAAACGAGAAGAGAATTGACGGCCTTATCAAGGACAGAAATTCAATATTGGGTTACATGTCAGGCACGTGGTAAAATTCCGAAAGTATTTGTTCCGTAAAAATGACATACACAAACCCTCTTTATTGTGTTAGTTTACCGGGTCTTAACATGAA